TGACTCTCTGTGTGATATTAGCAGACAGGGCTCCATTTCCCTGGTTAATGGGGACAGTAACAGCTAGTACCAGATAATATTCAGAGCACTTTGAGATCCTCAGATGGAAGTCCCTACAAAAAATAGAAAGCCCACAGTTTTCAAATGTCTCACTTCCAGGTGAATAACCCAGTGGGACCCTCACACCCTGGGAGGAGGGGCTCAGCTTTGAAGCTCTCCTGGGCTGCTTCTCCTTGCTCCCTCCAGGTCATTTCCCTGCAGCGGATGCAGGAGAGTCTCCTACCAGCCTGTGTCAAACCGAAGGGAGGGCGTTGTCGTAATTCTGGGCCTGCTAGTTGGTGTAAAACCCTGTGCTCATAACCCTGTTCTCGTGGGAGCCTGTTTCAATAGCCTTCTCAGCAGCAGTCAGGGACCCGCCTGAAGTTCGTGAAAGGTCCTTTGTTGGCTGAGACTTTGTTCAAGAGTGCTGAGGAGGCCAGAAAACATCGTGCCTGGGCTGGAGGGGAAGCGAGCCTGGGATTCCTGGACCTCACCCCTGTGTGCTGCCCCAGATGCCCCTGGTGCATCCATGCCATTTCCTCCCTGATGCCTCACCCCAAAATGCACCCCCTGGTGTCAGCGAGCCCTTGCTCCCTTTCCTGGTCTACTTCAGAGAAGGCTTTCCCATCCTTTTGGCTGGAAAGCCATCTCAGATATCCCAGGTCACACTCCCAGAGTCTCCGGGTGGAAGGAGCCTCGGAAGGTCATGAAGTCTAACTCCCTGCTTCATGCCCAGATTTCACTTAAATTGTCACCTGCCTTTCCCCAGACTGTACGGGGAAGGAAAGTCCACAGGTACATGTCTGATGTTCCACAGGTACCAGATCCCTGAGCAGCACAGCATCATGAGAAGACTTGAGGCTTGAAACTCAGACTGTCCTGAGTTTGAATCCCTGGTCTGTGATGTTGACCGAGTGGCCTCACCTCTCTGTGCCTCAATTTCCTTACCTGTAAAAAAGAGAAGAATGCCTCCTTCAGAGGTTTATTGTGAGGATGTTACACGTAAAGCATTTTGCACGATGCTTAAATCTCAGTACATGTGGCGCATTGGTTGCTGTTTACTAAACCCTCCCATGGGGCGTCAGGGCCTTGCGGCTTGTCTGGTTTTCTCTAGAAAGGGAGAATTGCTCATCCCTCTGCCAAGGGTAGTTCTCTGCTGCTTCTCTGACCTAATTTGCATCGAACCCTATAACCCTCCATTTAGCTTCCATTTCTTTAAGACTCTCAGGCAAGGAGGTCGAGGCAGCGGGGTGTCATATAACTTACGTCAGGGTTCGTTGCTAGGTCTTTTTCTTGGTAAACGGTGGTGGTGAGTCAGCCTGCATTTAGGTGAAGGCCGTCCAGACCCACAGGGGCTGTGGTCTCTCCTCTGGAAGGGTTTTTGCTCACATTTCCCAACATGCTTACCACTGTTAGCGCTTTGCTTTTCTGACTGCAGGGTGCCTCCCAGGGAAAAAAAACGTAGAAGTTACTTCATCCAAGACTTCCCACTCCACTCCCATTTCAAATTCCTGCTCGTGGGAGTGAAGGCGGGGAGGTTCTCTTCCCAGTCCTGACTCCATTCATTCATTCGTTCAGCAAGCATTCAGCAAGCATTCGTGGAGCATCAGAGACCAACACTGGTTTCTCCTTCCAGGTGCTCAGAAGGGATTGAGGAGCTGCTGCCTGATGGCAGGGAGGGAGCTGTGAGCTTCCCAGGTGCTCAGCTTCCTGCTCTCCCTCTGTGGCAGCCCCTGGGGCCTTGAGAAGGAAATGGGGAGGTGGGGGAAACAACTTGCCAGTCCCAGGCTGCTGGAGTTGCCGCAGGGGTGTTGATCACCTCCCTCTTCCCTGAGAAGTCCCCAAGATGCACCCAGCAAGATTTAACAAATCAAAAGGGAGAGCTGGCCTTGTCACCAATGCCAATAACAGTGTCCTTTACAGAGCACAACCATGTGACCATCATACACGAAGTAGGTACTATTGTCACAGCAAGCAAGCAGGAGAGTCAGGATTCAACCCAACCTGGCCTTGCGATTCCAGAGTTTGGCCCCTTCACTTCTCTATGCTAAGCCTCTACAAAGGGTTAAGATCTTCTGAGCTGAGAGCTTTGGGGTGTTTCTCTCTGTGTGGCCTTAGGGTGAGAGTATGTCCTGGTGAACTTGGCAGTGTCAGTGGCTGCTTTCTGCCCACCCTAGCCTGACCCACATGTCCCTGTTGTTGGTTCAGGGACACCTAATAGGTGCCAAGTGCAGCCTCTGGCAGAAGCTAGGACAGAGTGTGGGCATCACTTGCCGTCACTCCATCCCTGCGGCTGGAAAACTATGTGGTTGTAGGTCTTTGTTGTTCTTTTGTGTAATTCACAGGGCGTGTGACTCTGTGCGGTCAGAGATGATTCTGGGGGTAATTTTGGTAACTGTTGCTGGCATCACGGTCCAGGCCCCAAGCCTTCCTTGGAGGAGGAGAGCCCGTTGGATGTGGCCCTGGTGTAGGAGGGCAGGCAGGTGCCAGCTCCGTTGTGCAGCCCAGGTCCCTACAGCAGCGAGCAGCAGCCGAGAGGCCGACCACAAGCTCTGAAGTTTTTTACACCAGGGTTGGCCTCCCTCTTGCCTTTGTGTCTCTTGCTGTTGCCATATATTAAGATGAAAGGGGTTTTTAGAGCTTTGCAGGCACAGAGGGTATGTATGTGAGTGCCTGTGTGTATGTGTGCTGGAGGCCCAGAGCGCTTCCCTTCCTCCCCACCTCTCTCCCCCTCTCCCCAGCCCGGCTGGGGCCCAGGCATGGTGGCAGGTATGCCCAGCCCAGCCCAAACCGCAGGCGAGAGGATGGGGAGGGAGAACAGCCTGGGATTTCACTGTTTGGGGGCCAGAATCCCTCTGCGCCAGGATGTGAGTAAGAGGCGGTGGGATGGGGAGGGAGGGGGTGGAAGGACTGGCCTTTCTGTGGCTGGAAAAGCCCTGGGGGCCCATCCCCCCTGCCCAAGAGGCCAGGTTGTCTCTCTGAGCTGGTTTCTCTTTGTTCCCATCCAGGGATCCCAAGAAAGGTGGCTGCTGGGCAGAGCAGTCTGTGTAATCCCATCCAGCCCCAGCTCATCTGTGGTGGGGGGAGCATCTGTGGTGGGGGCGTAGCGGAGCAGTGGCTGAGGGAAGGCTCAGTCTCCCCTTTGTTGTCCTTTGTATTTACTTTCTGGTTCTTGCTCCACCCCCTCCAGTCCCCTCCCCCATCAAGCCGGGGTGTTTGCTGCTGTCTGGAGCCTGCTTCCTGCCCCACGGGGAAAGTGTGGCTTGTCCTGAGCATTTGCTGCTCTGCTTGGAGGCAGGGGGTGTGGAGAACACAGGGTCGGGGGAGAGACAGGGAACATGTTTGGGAAGCCCCGGGACGCCTGCGGGCGTCGATGTTCCCTCCATGCAGGTGCTCTTATGGGTGAGCTGGGGCCCATAGGCAGAGGGGAGATTCGGAGAAATGCTAGCCCGAGCCCGAGCCAGCTTCTGAGAGGGTGTGAGGGGAAACACTTAGCACAGTGTTTCTGTTGTTCACACGCACCCTGTGATTTCAGGTCTAGAAACCTGAGGTGGGGATCCGGGTGTCAAGGGAAGCCATTCGGTGCACACTCGCTGTAGGAAATGCATCCTTCCTAAGAATGGAGGGCACTGATGGAGGCCTTCTTTTGGAAACTGGTATCACCAGCGTGCAGGGCGTGAGCATGCAGCTGGGTCCCCAGGGTCGCAGATGTCCTTAGCACAGTGAGCAGGTGGCCCTGTGTTTGGTCCCTGCCAGGTGCTTTGGGGAATATCAAGACAAACAAGCCTGCCCTGGCTCTGGAGGAGCTCACACCAAGGAAGGCACTGGGGTAAGACCAGAACTCAGGCAGCCCACTGTGATGAAAGAGCAGGATGGAGTACACCGGGGAGATGACGGAGTCTGGAGCCAAGGGCCTAGCGGGGCGTCCAGCTCCTCTGTTCTCTTCCTACTGTGTGGCCTTGAGTGATTGCTCAACCTCTCAGCACGCTGGGCTCCTGCCTGGGAAATGGGGCTCCTGCACAGGTGAGATGGCTAACTCAGGAGAGAGGACAAGCTTTTACTGGGTCCCTGCTCTGGGCACATCTGTGCAGACACCATCTACACAAGGCACCAGAAGCTTGCCTGCACTCAGAGAGGCCTAATCAATAGGCCGTTTCTCTCCCTTTGTTCTTCTCTCCCTTTCCAGAAAGGATTTGTCTCAGGAGTTGGGGGCGGGGGAAGGATTGCAAAGGCTCTTGGAAGCTGTTTCTGAGATGGGCTTGCTGTGAGGACCGTTGGGTAGGGTTTTGGCCGGCAGAGACATGAGGCATGGACATTGCAGGAAATGGTGGGGAAGGATAGGAGGTGTTCAGGGGACAGTCGATAATCTGAAATGGCTGGGGCAGGTCGAAAGGGAACCAAAGGGTCCCCAGAGACTGGTTGGGGCCAGGCCCTGAACATCAGGCTTAAAGCTCAGGCCTGTGTTGCATGGAAAGAGGAGCCCACTGAAGTGGAGAAGGGAGACCTCTGGAGGCAGGAGGCTCCCTGGGTGGCTGGGAATTAGGGAGTGCTCAGAGCTGATTCCAAAGGTCCACGCCAGGCAGGGATGGAGAGCCCCATCAGTCTGGAATCCCAGGCTTTGGTGCAGAGCAAAGGCTGTGGCAGAGATGGCTGGGGAGAAACGGGAAGGTCGGTGGGGAGCTGGGTGGGGAGAGGAGGGCGCTGTGCGCTCAGACGGCCTTAGTCTCCCGGGCTGCTGTAACAAAATACCACAAACTCGGTGCCTTAAAACCACAGAAATGTATTCTCTCACAGTTCTGGAGGCCAGAGTCCAAAATCAAGGTACCTGCAGGGCCACACTCCCTCCAAATGCTCCACGAGAGCATCCTCCCTTGCCTCTTCCAGCTTCCGGTGGCTCCAGGCCTTCCTGGGCTGTGGCAGCATCTCTCCAACCTCTGCCTCTGTCTTCCATCACCTCCTGCTCTTTGTCTGTTTTTTCCTTTTCCGTCTTTTTATAAGGACACTCTTTGTTGGATTTAAGGTAATCAAGGATGATCTCATCTCAAGATCCTTAATTTAATTACATCTGTAGAGATCTTCCAAATAAAGCCCCATTTACGGGGTCCGACTATTAGCAATGCACTTATCTTTTTGAAGGCTGCCATTCAACCCACTCGCAGTGACTGCTGGATTCCAGGTGCCCTGGGGAGAATGGATGAGAGAAAGGGGGATGTGGACCCAGACTCAGGGGAGCCCCCTCCTTTTCTCTGTGACCCACAGGCCTTTTTGTCATCCCTTAGCCTCTGAGACACCAGGCCTCAGTCTGTCTGTCTCTGTCACAAGACACTGTGATTTTCCATGACGCCCCTTGGGTCAGGGCCTCTGCTGTGGGGAAGTGAGCAGGATGGCTGGACGGAAGGACACCATGTCCTTCCTGGGAGGTGGATGGCTTCCCTGCCTTCTCCATCCTTGCTCATCAGGGGATGTGCATGAGCTGCTGATGGAGGAGCAGGAACAGGAAGGATGTGGGCCCTTCCACCCGTATCGGCGGAGTCCTTCCTGTGCCTGGGCTGGCCGGCTGCATGACCCCAGTCCAGTCCAAAGGATGAGGTTGGCATCCTGGTGACTTTTTTGGAAACCCCTCCCTCTTCTGAGAGCGGTCCTTGAGGAAACTTAACGCTTTGGTGGGCGTGACCGGTCATCCTCTATGAGTGGCCAGTGTGGCCATGTGTGGCGACAGCAGAGCTCACCTTACTGAAAAGGCTGCTCCCTTACAGTATCAACTTTCCAAGGGCTCATCAATAGGTCTATCTCCACTGGGCATGGGGACGGGGTCCTCTCCTCTCTGCTCTCTCCCTCATTCTGTCCTGCTCCCCAACCCTCACCAGGGCCCAGTCTTGACCCCTGGGTCCTCCTGAGCCCAGGTGCCTGCTCAGGCAGTCTGGGGTCTCCCCTGGGTGAGGGAGGGGCAGTGAGGGTCTGGTTCTCTGGTCCTGGGGACCATGGACCTTCCTCTATAATACTGAGTGCTCCTTAGTGCATACTCATTAGGCTACAGGCTCCCTTTCTCTTTTCTTCTACTCTTTGGAGAGGCTGTGGGGAAGGCATTTGTGTAAGCCCCTAGCCTGGCACATAGTCAGCCCTCAGAAAAGGTGGTCATGATTCTTCTGAGGATGGTTGCTGGGGCCAACTAGGCGACACTGGAATAGAGTCAGGACTGGATGTGGGGAGAAACGTTGAGCTCCGGCCATATTTTAGGGAGTCCTGGATGCAGAGGGACTGAGGGTGCTGGTATTTCTTGGGGGAAGAGTGAGGAGAGTCCTGGGGTCAAGGGTAGCCTGGGGAATGCTTGATGCGGGGTTGGGAGCTGCAGTGGGCAAGAGAGGGGAGACAGGTGGGGGTGCCTACAGACCAGGACCTGCAGGTTCTGGGTGGCCCGCTGAGGTATTTTATTTGGTTCACATGGTTTTTAAAGAATTTTTGAAATAGCAGTTGACGTTGTAAAATTGAGGGATTTTGATAAAATCCAGATTTCTGGCTTCTCTTGGGAACAAAAAAAGATCATGCCATTCATTCTTGGTGAAGAATGTGCGAGGTGGTGGCTTTCTCCTTTAGACAAAGCACGTGTGGCTCCGTTGACCCCATCCCCACCACTCAGCTCTCCAGCATCTGCACCCCGGCTCCTTGACTGTAGGGGCCTGCCCCACCCCACCCAGGCATTTGGTTTTCAACCCCTGCCCTCAGAATGGGGACTGAAAGGAGTTAAGAGAAAGAACCCAGTGGCCATGAGGGTGGCAGGTCAGAGGAAGGTGGGCCTGGCTAGAGGCCAAGACAAAGATCCTGCCCAGTGGGAAGGGTGGAAGGTGACTGGGGGTGGGGGCTACAAAGACACTGAGGAGAGGAGGCGTGGGAGCCCAGAACCACACCCTCTCTACCCACTTTCTCAATTAGTTTGTGTTAGTCCTCTTCCTTCCTCTTTCCTCACTTCCTTTCTTTGCCTCTCTCTCCCTCTCCTGCCTGGGCCTGAGGCCTACCAGGACCCAGCCCCCACCCCCAGTGCTACTCAGCACCCCTTCCTCCGTCCCTGTTTGGGGTGCAGGTGAAGAGAGACCTCAGCCAGAGATGCCCCATGGTAGCTCTGTGGCCATCTCCTTGCTGGGGTGTGAGCCAGCTCACAAGGCCTTTCTCCTCTCCCCTTGGGGACCCTATCCTGGAAGGTGGGAGCCAGTCATGTTGAGCAGCAATGCTCAGAGCTGCCCTTACAGAACCATCTGTGCTGAATCTGTCTGTCCGCTGGCCCCAAGTTAGGTGAAGAGGAAGGAGTTGGAGGAGACGTGTCACTCCCACAGCCAGCCGCTCCTCCCAAATGTGCAATAAGTCAACACCCACTGATATGTTGGGTGCCTGCAGCATGCCCAGCCCCGTGCCTGGTGCCCTGGAGGAGGCAGGAGGACATTCAGCTTCTGGGCCTTGCTGGAGCTATAGGTGAGAGGGCAGGGAGTGGTGGGTGAACTGACACAAGCAACGAGCAGGAAGGCCTGACCCATAGGAGTTCAGAGAAGGGGGAAGTAGGCCTGCACCAAAGGGCAGGCTCCCTGGAGGAGGGACCCCTGAGCTGGCCCTGAATGATGGTGCCATTGGGCTGGGCCGGGATGCTGGTCTTATTCCAGCATGGGGCATGGGTTCTGCTAGAGAGAAGCTTGGAATCGGGGATGAGACAGGCCAGAAGACAGGAGGAGAGCCTCACCAGGGCTTCAGACAGACTGCTCGTGGGGCCCAAACTTCAACACAAAGACTCAGGGCCAGACTCGTGCTCTGCATTCAACCTATCATTTCTCACAGTCCTGGTTCTCCAGGGCCTGGGAAGCTTTTGGGGACTGCCAACCTGGATGATTTCCAGGTTGAACCTCCTTGATCTGGTCGCCACTGGCAGTGGTGCCAGGGAGTTGCCACTGGGCAGGGGGTGGTGGCAGGGCTCACTCATTGCCTTATTCCCTGGTGCAGGGGTGGGGGGACAGGCTCAGTCACACACTGCCCAGAGGGACTCTTAGAGGCTACAAGGTGAACCTCCTGACCATCAGTCTCTTCACAAGATAGGGATGTTGCAACTACCTAACTGATGTTCTGAAAGTTAAATGACAAAACACATGCAGAGTACTTAGCTTTAGAAATGTCAGCTGTTAATGAAAACATCATTGCCTTTCACTACTCCTCTCCTGTTTGGGCAGAATCCCTGTGAAGGGCCCCAGGGTGATTCCAGCCCACCTGGACCGCCTCCACCTCCACCCCACCCTCCCAGGCAAACATGTCTTCTCTTTAGGCCTCGGTTTCCTCATCTGTAAAATGGGGCTTAGATTAGTACAACTCTAAATTCTGACTCTCTTAAATTTGTAGCTTTATTTTCTCCAAACAACTGTGCACCTCGTTAGCTGGGACAGTAAAACTCCAGCCCAAGGCCCAGTGCACAGTAGTGGTTCAGCCCAAACTTATCAACACTTTGGTTTCCCTAGGCTCCTTGTTTCTCGGAGGGTCCAGAACCTAAGCTGTGAAAGGGACCCAAGGAACCACATGGGCCTGGGCTACAAGTGCCCTCACCTGCCATCAACCCGCCTCCTTTATTCCATTTCATAAGGAAACACATCAGCTGCTCTTTTTCGCTCTGAAGATGGAGCCAGGGCCCAGCTGCTTTTGCTATTGTAATTAGCAGAGCTAATTAGCATCCGGTAGGCTGGGCGTGGGGCAAACCCTTGTCGAGCTCCTTGATCTGGGCTGCAGTGACACTGCGGGAGCCCCACCCTCCGCCTCCCTGGAGGCCCGCCTGGCTTGGGAAGGGGTGGTGCTCAGACTTGAGTGGGCATTAGAAACACATGGAGAGCTTATTAAAACACAGGTGCTGGGCCCCACCCCTAGAATTTCAGATCAGCAGGTCCAGAATTGCACCTGAAAAATTTGCATTTCTAACAAGTTCCCAGGTGCTGCTGGTGCTGCTGATCTGGGACCACGTTTTGAGAACCACTGTCCCAGGGGAACTCCTGGGCTGCTGAGAAAAGGGTCCTGGAAGCCCCTGTTGCTGAGGCCACAGTCAGCCAGCCCTGGGCGGGGGTAGGTGGGCCATGGGGCAGAAAGGGTGTTGATGAACACGTTGTAGGGCTGGACATTCCTATGTTCCCAGTTTGTTTTAGGAATTCTGTCTGGAAGGAGGGGGCTACAGGGTTACACACCCACACCTCCCCAACAGGTGGGTCAACAGCCAAGGAGGGGAATTGAAGAACAGGAATGAAACCCTCTCTCTGCCTTTTCATAGCCTATTGCTGGTACTCGGTGCATGCCCTCAGCTCATTCTGTCCTGTGATGGGTCTTCCTGGCTGGCTGCCTCCCTGCGTGAACTGTAGTGGGGTTTTTTCGGTTTTGGGGGTTTTTTTAAATTAAGATTATGATAGTTAACAACCTTGTGAAATTACCGTTGTACATCATTATTAATCATGTTGTAGGTACACCATTTCATCCCTAGTGCCCTCCCCTCACCCCCGCTTTCCCCCGGTAACCACCGATCAGTTCTCTTTGTCTATTTGTTAACTACCCCCTATGAGTGGAGTCATACAGAGTTCGTCTTTCTCTGTCTGGTTTATTTCACTCAACATAATACCCTCAAGGTCTATCCATGTTGTTGTGAATGGGACAACTTTGTCCTTTTTATGGCTGAGTAGTATTCCATTGTATACCATATCTTCTTTATCCAATCATTGGTTGCTGGGCACTTAGGTTGGTTCCATGACTTGGCTATTGTGAATAATGCTGCGATGAACATAGGGGTGCATGGGACTTTTGGAGTTGCTGATTTCAGTGAACTGCAGTGTTTTTATTGTTGAGGATCATGCCGCACTCATCTTTGTGGGCCCTGCAGCCCCCAGCATGCTCCTTGCACCCAATAGGTGCTCTGTAAATCTAGCATGATGGAAAGGACTTGGGCTCTGCAGGTGGAGACAGACAGAACAGGCTGAATCTCAGCCTGGCTGTGACTTTTCTAGGTGTGTGGCTAGAAAATTACTTTGTCTCTTGGGCTTCAGTGAATCCACCTGTGAAACAGGGAAAACACCCACCACTTAGGAGATTATGGGCGTCAGTGTGTCCAGGGCCCAGCACATCCTAGCAAGCCCTTAGTAAATGGAAGCGTATTGCTCTTGGACAACTCTTAGGGGCATTCGTTGGATTATGGTGTGCTGTGGTCCTGTAGGGCTCCAGGGGACACAGGAGTGAGGGACCCCAGGAAGGGAAAGGCCTTGGATTTCTCCCCCAGGGTCTGGCCAGGCTCAGAGTAAGGGTCTGAGTGAACCATGGGTCCTGGCTGACCACCTGCAGTCCTCTGCTGGGGGCACACAGAGGCCGCCCTCTGCTCCAACCCCTGCTGCCCTGTGACCCTGGATCTTTGCCAGGCTAAATTTAGCCGTGACCTGCAGGGGCCGCCACTCTCTGTGGGCAGGGGCGGGGGGGGGGCGGGGGCGGAGAGGAACTCAGCAGGTTTCCGGCTGGCTTCCTGGCAAGCAGACAGAAGCCGTGGGACTGACCCAGGTTTATTTTCAAGCCGAACCCGCCCACCGGGTGTCTCAGACCCCACGACCACAGGTGTGGGGCAGCCCCCTAGAGGTGAGAGCCTGGGGCCAAGGTGGAGACAGACATCCTTGAGATTGGGAGAACCGTCGGGGCCCTTTGGGGAGGAGTGTGTGTGTGTGCGTGCACGTGTCCCTGGTTTTGTGAGAGGTTTCCCGCTCTTTATCCTATCCCCATGGTCTCCAAAAGTCAAAACGCCGAGATTCCACCCCCCACCTCGTTCTTCTGACCCCGAGGCCCCCAGAGCAGTGCTCCCTGTGAGGTGGTTTGAGGAGGGGAAGTAGCAGAGGCTTCTGACTTGGCCCCATCTAGTGGGCACTGAGCAGCCACCGCCCGTTCCCTACCCCTTAGGGTGCCGCAGGCAGAGCCAGCCTGTGCCAAGGTTAACAAGCAAAATGACAGCTGGGATCCCGTCCCATCCCTGGGAGGGAGAGATGGTTTAAGCAAGGGGTGAGTCAGAGGGAACTCCACCTCCGGGAGAATCCAAGGCTTTGAAGGCCTCTCGCCTCTGCTGGGGGGCAGGGTGGAATGAGCGGCGTGCCAAGGGACAGCGGTATCAGGGGAGCATTTTGTGCTTTCAAAGCGCTTTTGAGCGTGCGTTCCTCCACACCCCTGGGACTTGGGCAGGGCGGATATGCTTGGCAGGTGAGAAAACAGGTTGATGCAGGGTGAGCAGCTGGTATTGTATGGTGCTTACTCTATGCAGGCACTGTGCTAAACACCTGGGATGGATTATCTTGCTTAACCCAACCTCCCTGTGAAGGAGGGCCTGCTATTAGCTCCACCTCCAGGTAAAGCAACGGAGCCCTAGAGAAGCCATGTGACTTACCCAAGACCACTCAGAAGGAGGAGAGTCGAGGTTCAAACCCAGACCTCTCTGCTTCTGCAGCTCAGGCTCCTTCCACGTTGTCGCCTCATTCCCTCATGTTCCTGTAGAGTCTTGTTTGTAACCCTACTATCCTCAGTGTTATTGTGGGCTGAGTTCTTTGGAGGGGCATCTGCATGGCCCACTCCTGCAGGCAACCCCTGCAGGCAGGTTCATCTGCACATTCCCATCCCATCACAGCTACCCTTTTATAAGAGAACTTGCTCAGGGGCAAGCATTTTGCTAAGGGCTTTATATGCATTCTCTTGTTCAGGCTTTACAACAGCAAGTGTTAGTATTCCCATTTTATAGACGAAGAGACTGATGTTCTGAGAAGTTGAATGATTTGTCCAAGGTCGCATATCTAGTAAGTGCACATGCCACGTTCTAACCCGGTCTGTCTCTTCCAGAGTCTGTCCTCTTAACACCTTGCACACGGAGTCGATCTTTCTGGTTGGTTCAGAATTTTGAACCTTGCCTGCCCCAGTACGAGGAGGCCTTTCCTGTATAGCCCTTCATTCTCCAGCAAGCACGAGGATGTACACAGGTAGCCCTGTGGATGCTGTTGGGTAGATGGGAGGAGGACTTCCCAGTCCTAGGACTTGGAGATGGCACCACTCCCCAGCTGGTGGCATTCTATCCTAAGTTGGCATGGAAACTGACCTCTGGTGTTAGAAGTTGCCAAGGTGGCTGCCTACAGTACAGGGGCCCTGAAGAGCCTTCAAACCCCCAAATTATCTCCTCACTGGCTGCTGCCTGATGTTCTACCATTAGTACCCCATGCCTTTATCTTAAAACTGATCCACGTTAATCAGCCAGCCTCACATCACGGTTTGATTAGCGCCACCCTGGCAAAACTTTCCATTGATGATTCTCTAATGTAGAAACCAGGGCTGACCTGTTGGTGCAATTATCTAGCAAGCTGCTCCTTCTCTTGCAGAAGAAAAGCTGGTTACCTACCCCCGTACTTTTTCGTCACCCCACACCCATTCCAGTCTGACTTCCTCCACTTTCCCCTGTCCTCCGTTTCCTCCTAAGTGGAAATGCAAAGGCTTCAAAGCTCATCTCTGAGGCCTGAATGGTCTGCCTACTGAATTCTGCTGCTGCCAGACCTCCCTCCCCCTCAGCCCTCATGATTCCTGCTGACATGTCCAGCTGTGTACAGGGTGGAGTCACATCTGAGCAGCAGGCTTTGCACAAGTGTGGCAACTCAGGTCATCTACATCCTGCCGCTTGCCAGGTGGAACCTGCAGAGGTGTCTTTCCCTGGTGATGAATACTTGCTCCTTGGCACCATTAGGGTAAGAGCCAGAACAGTGGTTTTCAGGGTGCAAATTCAAGGTCAGGGAACGGGGCTCAGGCAAAAGGCAGAGGGTCCCATCAGTGGATGTTGGCGTGTACCGGGAGCGGGGTGGGTGGTGGGTGGAAGGAGCCCTCTGTGTTCTTGGTGGTCCAACAACAACCTCCGTTGGCCATTTGCTCTCCAGGCTGAGGTTCCAGGCAGGAAGGGGGCAGGGCAAGTGTGGAAAAGGCCCCTTGTTAATTCCCAAGGTTTGTGCTTGGGAGAGGAGAGGGTATAAGCTAAGGCTTACACTATAAGACAGTGCATCCCAGACTTTAATGTGGATGGTATTAAAATGCAGATTCTGGTTCAGTAGGTCTGGGTGGGGCCAAGATTCTGCATTTCTAACAAGCTCTCAGGAGATGTTGCAGCTACACAGTTTGAGTAGCAAGGATGGCAAGGGGTGCGCCCTTCCCCAAAAGTCACTTGAGGCCTAAATACCCATTTATCCTGGAGGAATGAAGTGTCTCCTTTCATAATCAAGTTGGATTTAAAGTTCAGGTGCCTCAGGAGAGGAAAACCACTGACTCAGTCACTCTTTGTGTCTTCAGGGTTGTCCTGGGGAAAGACCCAGGAGAAGGCCAGGAGTTCAGGGTCTGCATCTGGGGTGGGATCTTCCAGATCAGGAGAGATTTACAGTAGGGGAAGATAAAGGCTCAAAACTGCTTCAAAAACAGTTGCTGTTTAATGAATCTATGCTCTGCACCATTCCCTGTGCTGTGTGTGCTTCCATCAAGACGATGCCCCCGTGGGAACTATGGTTTTCTTCTTGTTCAATAAGGAAACTGGGGCTCAGAGAGGTCAGTTAACATGCCCAAGGTCACACAACTAATCAGCGACAAGGCTGGCTTTGGGACCCAGTCCTCTTGTTCTTAGCCGCCAGCTTCTACTGCAGGGAGGAAAGACACCTTTACCAGAAGGCATTGGGGGAGAAAAGCATGTCTTATTCAGGACTATTTTGGTTTCAGGTGATAGAAAAACAACTCAGGGGCCAGCCCCATGGCTTAGTGGTTGGGTTCACACTCTCCGCTTCGGTGGCCCAGGGTTCGCTGTTTCAGATCCTGAGTGTGGACCTACGCACCACTTGTCAGGCCATGCTGTGGCAGGCGTCCCACATAGAAGAACTAAAATGACCTACAACTAGGATATACAACTATGTACTGGGGCTTTGGGGAGAAAAAAAAAGAAAAAAGAGGAAGCGTGGCAACAGATATTAACTCAGGGCCAAGCTTCCTCTAAAAACAGAAGTAAGCTCTATTAACTCTTTAAAAAAAAAAAGAAAGAAAGAAAAACAACTCAAACTGATTTAAACAAAAAGGGGAATTTATCGATTTATATGCTGAAAGAGCCCAGAGGTTATGGCTTCAAGCATAGCTGGATCCAGAAGATCTGCTCTCCTCTACTTTGGCATCTTTCTCAGGCCAACGCCCCTCTGAGGTAGCTCGAGAGCCACCAGCAGGTGTAATTCTGTTCCCAGCAACTCTAAGCCACAGAGTCTTTCTCTCCAGTGGTCCCAACAAATCATACCTCTGTCTCCCATTGGCCCAAATGGGGTCATATGCTCATTCCTGAACCCATCACTGTGTCGGGGTGAGGAAGGCATGGAATAGTCTTGGGCCTGGGTTATATGCTCACCCCTGGAGCTGGGGGTGGGTTTATCCCCAGCAAAGCCATAAGGGCTGGGAGTAGAAAAGGGTTGGTTCCAGGGAAAGTGGGATACTACTACCAGAAAGAGGACCGCCTGGGCAGGCAGAAACAGAGATCCACCGACAGTGGCTTGTTCAGCCAGGATTGCTGGTGTGGGACTTCGGGGTTCTTGTTGCAAGGCTAGACTGAAGCACATGAGGAGACTGTGGTTGGGTCGGAGAAGAAACTATAAGACGTTGACCAGCTCCATAGGGCAGAGGTTGGTGGGAGGGTCCAGGGAAGAAGCTTGGTGCGACCTTTGTCTCTCTCTCTCTTTTCCCAGGAAAGCTCCAGCCATGGCACTGGGGCTCTTCCGGGTGTGTCTGGTGGTGGTGACCGCCATCATCAACCACCCACTGCTGTTCCCTCGGGAGAACGCCACAGTCCCCGAGAATGAGGAGGAGATCATCCGCAAGATGCAGGCGCACCAGGAGAAGCTACAGCTGGAGCAGCTGCGCCTGGAGGAGGAGGTGGCGCGACTGGCGGCCGAGAAGGAGGCCCTGGAGCCCGTGGCGGAGGAAGGCCAGCAGCAGAACGAGAGCCGCGTGGCCTGGGACCTGTGGAGCACCCTCTGCATGATCCTTTTCCTGGTGATCGAGGTGTGGCGGCAGGACCACCAGGACGGGCCCTCACCCGAGTGCCTGGGTGGGGACGAGGACGAGCTGCCTGGCCTGCAGGGTGCCCCACTCCGGGGCCTCACCCTGCCCAACAAGGCCACGCTCGACCACTTCTATGAGCGCTGCATCCGGGGAGCCACGGCTGATGCAGCCCGCACCCGGGAGTTCGTGGAAGGCTTCGTGGATGACTTGCTGGAAGCCCTGAGGAGCCTCTGCAACCGGGACACAGACATGGAGGTGGAAGACTTCATTGGCGTGGACAGCATGTATGAGAACTGGCAGGTGGACAAGCCACTGCTGTGCAACCTCTTTGTACCCTTCATGCCCCCAGAGCCCTTCCACTTCCACCCAGAGCTCTGGTGCTCCAGCCGCTCGGTGCCCTTGGATCGCCAGGGCTACGGCCAGATCAAGGTGGTCCGGGCCGACGAGGATACACGGGGCTGTATCTGCGGCAAGACCAAGCTCGGGGAAGACATGCTGTGTCTCCTTCATGGCAAGAACAACTTGTTGCAGCCTGGCAGGGAGGTGAAAGACCCACTGTGTGCCAGAGATTCCCCATACCTGGACACGATGCAGGTCATGAAGTGGTTCCAGATGGCCCTCACCAGAGCCTGGCACCGCATCGCCCACAAGTACGAGTTCGACCTGGCCTTTGGCCAGCTGGAAACCCCAGGGTCCCTCAAGATCAAGTTCCGCTCAGGGAAGTTCATGCCCTTTAACCTGATCCCTGTGATCCAGTGTGACGACTCGGACCTGTACTTCGTCTCCTACCTTGCCAGGGAGCCCTCCGGGGGGACCCCGGCGTCCAGCACTGACTGGCTCCTGTCCTTCGCTGTCTACGAGCGACACTTCCTCAGGATGACCTCAAAGGCGCTGCCCGAGGGTGCCTGCCACCTCAGCTGCTTGCAGATCGCCTCCTTCCTGCTCTCCAAGCAGAGCCGTCTCACCGGCCCCAGCGGGCTTGGCAACTACCACCTGAAGACTGCCCTGCTGCACCTCCTGCTCGCCCGGCGAGCCGCCGACTGGAAGGCTGGGCAGCTGGATGCTCGTCTGCAGGAGCTGCTCTGCTTCGTGGAAAAGAGCCTGCTCGAGAAGAAGCTCCATCACTTCTTCATCGGCAACCGCAAGGTGCCCGAGGCCATGGGCCTGCCTGAGGCCGTGCGCAGGGCCGAGCCCCTCAACCTCTTCCGGCCCTTCGTCCTGCAGCGCCGTCTCTACCGGAAGACAGTGGACTCCTTCTATGAGATGCTCAAGAATGCCCCGGCGCTCATTAATGAGTACTCCGTACACATCCCCTCAGACCATGCCAGCCTGCCCCAAAAAGCTGTCATCTTGTAGACCATCAGGGACCTTGAGGGCCAGAATGCAGGGCAGCCCCTGTGTCCACGGCCCTGGGGGCACCTGCAAGCCCTGTGCTGGGAAAGTGGCGGGCCTTGTCGGGAGCTCGGCTCAGCCTGTGGGGAAGCCAGGCCCTGTGGTGCAGAGGAGACAATTCCAAGCCAGAAGCTGGTTTGCTTTCAGGCCATTGGGCCTGTGGGTGACGTGACTGTCTGGGTTTGGGGACTGATCCTTTGCAGTTTACTGTTGGATCACCGCAAATGGCCAAGATGATGACAGAACACTTCATGGACACTGAGTTAGAGACAATGCAAACATCGATTTGGGTGTAATTCTTGTTACATCCCAGGTCCCATCTTTACTTGAATGTCAACAGAGGATCTACAGGAATGCTGGCAGAAACCCATGTTAAGACGCTGCACCCTGATTTCCAGTAACCCTTGGCCCCAAGCATCTGCAACCAAAGCACTAATGGGTTCAGATATGGGAATTTGCAACCTTCCATCCACAGCCTGCACAATAGGGATCCCACAGTGGCTGCAGGTTTTTATATTACTTGGAGACAAGACCTACTAGAGATTCAAGGCCCCAGGTGGCTAATGTCTCTGTTGCACAGAAGTGGGTACTTGGTGGCAGAGAGAAGTTTCAGCTGGCTGCTTTTTCAGCTATACATCTCACTCAGGGTGCACCCCCTTCTCCCAACCTCTTCCCCCAGCACGCTGTGTTCTGAGCCCCCTGGGTGCCACATAACATGCTGGGTACAAGCTTAGCAGCCCCTCACCCCTCTTTATTCTCTCCACGGCTGGTCTCTCTGACCATCCATATGGTGGGGGAGGGCAGACGCTGCAGGGGCAAGCTGCTGGAGAGGAGCGGGGTGACTGGGGTGAAGGACAGAGCCTGGTGGCCAGGGTGCTGGCGTCTGGTTTGCAGCGTGGCCTCTGATGCCCAGTTACAGAGAAAGCTGCAGAGCTGAGAGGTGAGGGATGCCATAGCCCTGAGTTTTCCTCAGGGCCCCAGTCCTAGAGCAGGGCATACCTTTAAGCAGGAGCTGCCGTGGAAACCCAGCCCCATCTGCAGGCCCCAAGACCCCCTCGGCTGTTCATGCCAGTGGGACTCCCTCACTGCACAGAACCCCCCTTTCTGGATGGGCCTTTGCTGGCCGCACAGATGACCAAGACCCGAAGAGCCCAAAAGAGGCTCCGCTGGCTGGGAACACACAGGGACAGCACTGCAGGCACAGCCTCCAGGCCTCTGAGAGGCCACCTTGGCACTGCTGGGGCTGCAGTCCCTGGGCAGGCGCCAGAGCCTGTGGTCGGAGCTGGCCTCAGTCTCCAGGCCTGGTTCAGGAGGGTTGGGAAGCCTCTCCTCCTCCACTGTGGCTTCACTGGCCCTTAGGGAGTTCCTCTCGGCACTGCCTCAGGAAGCCTTGCAGAGGGCCAAGGAGGCGGCGAGAGCAAGCGTACCGGCACTGCCACCTGGCTCTCCCTCCAGGGGTTGAGCTGGCCATGCCTCTCAGACAGCGTACCTGGTTCCACGGGGTGTCAGGCTCACCACGGACTGAAGAAAAGATCCTGTCCCTACCCCAGGAGTGCTCTCACCTAACCTCAGTGTAAGATGGACAGTTTGCCCGGCAGGGTGAATTCATGGGAGCCTCAGCTGTGACTGGGCACTGAAGCCTGTAGGAAGCTTCCCATGTGAGCTGGAGTTAGACCGAGCAGTGCCCGGGTCTGTGCTTCCCCAGGCCCACAGAGGCCACCAGGCACCCCGGGAACCATCCCGCCCATGTGGTCTCCAACAAGAGCCCGAGCCCCACATTCTGTTGGGATTCATTTCCAGAGTCGAAGTGAACTTCCTTATTTATTATCTCTGTGCCTTTCCTTTCCCCTCTTCTTCCTTATTCTCGTTGTGCTTGGAAGAGACCCCAGCAACCAAGAACCAGCCTCAGAAGCCAAAACCAAGCCTGAACCCCCCTCGGCTTCCCCGTTGCTTCCGGGAGAAAGTTCACGGGAAAAATACCTTCTGGCCTCTTGTTTGTTCAGAGATGACAGAGCTCAGCGGGGAGATGGGGATCCTTTTATGCACCAGAGCTGCTGCTGAAGCAGAAAGCAGCAGGGCTCCTGGTGTTTCTGGCTGCCTTATTTATATTAAATTCTTGCAAGGAGTAGAAACTGGTTACAGTGTTTGTTTTTACCATCAGGAAATCTGTGAGGTTCCCAGGCAGAGCTGGGGAGGGGGTGGATTTCCTGTTGATGAGCGGAAGCTTTCACTCCCTTTTTATTCTTATGCTTTCAGGAAACTTTAAAAAATAACAAAATAGAGCATTTCTAGCCCATCTTTGAGGCAGCCTGCAGAGTTCCAGAAAGGGCCTTTGAAAGCCAGCTGTAGGGTGGATTCCAGCACAAGACCCTGTTTCACAGGGCTGCTGTGTGCAAAGAAATGTGGGAGCTGGAAGTAACCTGAAGCTTTTGGTTTTCAAGGAAAGAGATTGTCTTGTAAGTGGAAGAGTTCTAGTTCTTTGGGAAACTTTGGCCTTTCCACTAAGGAGCATCCAGCCCTCTTTCTCCAAAGAATCTCTTTTCTTTCCAAAGGATGCTTGACTTAACCCAGCATCTGCTCACTTGCTGTGCAGAACGCTCCAGAGTTACATTTTGCTGTGCCTCTTGACAAGTCGAAATGAGTAGGGCTGGCCTGAGGCCAAGAGGTTGGTTAGGTTGGAGCCCCGGCCCCTCCCTCTGCCTTGCTGAAGCACAGCCCCGGTGAACTGGGACCAGCACTTTGGCTCATAATCAAGGGTGTCGTCAGAATCACCTAGAGAGCCAGGTCAAATGTTCTGACCCCACCTTGAACCCTTGTGGCACTCAGGTAAGGCTCTTGATAAAGCTCCCTCAAGTGACCAATGCAACCCCTAGTTGAGGATGGCTCTCATTTCCTTTCCAAATGGAAAGTTAACGAAAACCCAAGTGGACTTCTTTCCCACAGAGCTATTGGAAAATAGACCTGGGGGATGCCAATGAGCCTGCTTGGGATCTATGATCCAAGTGGCATCAGCCACACCCCCTGAGTGCACCCACCGTCACACAGTGATAGAAGCAGAGAGGATGGGGGAGCAGAAGCTGGTGAGCACTTCTTTCTAGCAGGTCATTAATAGTCCACAAGCATTTATGAGGAGCCTGAAATACATGAGGCATTGTGAAAGAGAAATGAATAGGACCGAGCCTGTGCCCTGGGAGGGACAGAGTAAGGTGACCTCCCAACTACTCACCTGTGAAAAGCACCACAGGAAACGTGGAAACTCACTGCTGGTGGGTTCAAAGGAGAAGCCCAGCTAGGACCTGCTTCTCCAGGTGTGGCCCTGCACTACACCTATGAGATCGCCCGGGTGTGGCTTTCTGGGCCACAACGCAGACTTCAGAATCTCTAGGAGTCAGGCACAGGAATCAGCATTTTGCCAAGTTCCCCGGGTGATTGACAATCCAAGAACCGCTGATACCTGGGAGGATTAGGGAAGGCTCATGGTAGGGTGCTGCCTGAGAGAGCTTCTGAAAGATGGGTAAGACTGATGGGGAAAGGCATTCCAGCCAGAACCATGGAGTCAGTAGGAATGCATAATAGATGTAGGCAACATTTAAGGAGCATCTACTGTGTGCCAGGCACCCTTCTATGTGCATTTACGTATATTTATTTATCTAATTCCCATGTCAACCCTATGATGTGGGTACCATTATCATCCTCCCTATTTTCCAGATAAGGAAACTGAGGCACAGAAGGGTTAAGTGACTTGTCAAAGGTCACACAGTGGTAAGTAGCAAAGCCAGGATTTGACCCCAGGCAGTGCTGGTATATATACTGAGAAATCGTAGCAAATGAGTTTGAAAATGTCAAGTGGGGCTGACCATGGAAAAGCCTTGAACACTAAGCTAAGGTAAATGTGGACGGCATACAATAAGCAGCGGTGAGCCACTGGCAATTTTTGAGTGAGACAGTTAACTCGATCTGCCCACTAGGAAGTCCTGAACCGTGATGAGCGCTCTGTTAGGTGCTGCTGGGTTTTATAGCTGGCTTCCGGAGCGGCGTTGGTGGCAACAATCACTGAAGGTCTTCAAGTGCTAACATAAGCTGTTCCGAAGGCTGTGATTCAGAACATTCTCATGCTCTGTCCGGTCTCCACCTCATGGCATAGAGCTGGAAGGTTGTTTGGTTTGGCCAGCGGACGGCGGGCAGACAGAGCCAAGAACCACACAGCGAAGGAAGCGTGTGCCTTCAGCTCGCCTCATCCCCGCCCCCTTCACCCTCCTCTGCCTTGCACCCCCCCACCACCCTGGAGGGGCACCTTTTAGAGTTAACTTTTCTCATTGCCATCCAAAGATAGCTTGTTTTTCTAACTAGTTTTTTTTAAAAAAAATAGAAACAACATAGTCATGATAAAAGAATTCAACCCCTGACAGAAAAATTAACAGATAAAAGCTCCCACTCCTGACTTCTCAGTCCATTCCCCAGCGATACCAAGATGAAGTTTCTTGTGTATCCTTCCAAATTTTCCATGTATGTATCACATGTATGGATGCCCCCTTTTTCTTCTTTACATAAATTGCATCATACCATCTAACTTTTCTTGGATATCTTTTTTGAACATTTGGCTCTACCTTGCTCTTTAAAATAGCTGCTGACTCTCTCCCCATGTGGATGAGTGAACCCTCATTTACCCAGCCTCCCTACTAAGGAACGCTTCAGTGGCTCCACTTTTTTTGCTCTTAGACACAACACTGCAGCGAGCGCTCTGTGCATAAAGCCTGTTGGAGGGGATCTTTCCTCTCCTGGTAATCGCTGTATTCTCTACTCACCAACATGCTGTCTGTGGATTTATCACCAAGCATCTTACCATAAAAATAAACTGTTGCCTGGGATCTATTCAATCATCATGACTCCAGAGTGAGGAAAAGGCATTTGCAACCAAGTACTGAGCAATACAGCTTGTGTTCCAGCCTGGGCCAGGACTATGTGGGGAATAGAACTATACAAGGGCTCTGTCCCCAAGGAACTGAGTCTACTACTAGGAAGACAAGACCAATGGTTGCAAAATGAGCCCGAGAACAGTGCAGTGAAAGGTGGTGAGTGATTGAAAGTGAAGTCAAGGAGTGGCTCTGAGGCCTGCCTGGGCATGGGGGGAATGTGAGAACTTCCAAATCAGCTTTGGGTTTGAGCTGTAACCATGTTAGCTGATACATGGGAAAATGTGAGGAGCCTCCCCAAAGAAAAGCCAATCTACACGATTGTCGTTCTCTCCCCAAATGCTTGTGTTCCATTCATCTGAGCCCAGGGCTGGTTTATTTCTTCCTGCACAATGTGGGGCCCCTCCTTTATAGGCCAAAGTCACATTTTTTTATCCCTCTGATCTTCCTCTACAGCCCCACAAAGAAACCAGAAAATGAAACTGTCAACAACAAATTATCTCCCAGCAAGATGGGAGCACATAAACCTCAGAGATAGTCAAAGACATTCTTCTTTTCTTGCTGGGAAAAGTTAGGTCTTAAAAGTACAAGGTGAGATTTACAGGACTGGAGTGGGGTAGGGAGTGGGGAAGAATTTGATTCTATGTGTTTCTTTAAAACCCACTGACCAGTAATATTTTGGGTTTTTCTTAGGGTAACTTGATTTAAAATAGAAATAGAAAGCAAAGACCCACTTCCTGCCACTTCTCATAAGCTGCCCTTGGGCCTGTCTTCCCAATAGGCCAGAGAAGACTCGCACAGCCCCCACAGCCTCATTGCTCACCTATTCCTGGAGAGTGGAGTGAGCTGTGTTAGACCAAAAGTCTCTTGGGAGAGTGGTTGAACACCCAAAGACAGACAGTGGCCTTGGGTCTATACCAAAGGGCATGGCTAGTGCTGAATCAGCCCCCCAGGAGTCAAACCAGCAAGTCGGCTGCAAGATCTCCCAGCCAAGGAAAATGAGTCAGCCCATACATTCCCCATGCCCCAGGAATCAGGGCCAACGAGACGACAGCGGAAGCCTTAAGTAGAGCAAGATTCAGGGCCAAGGAGGTTGGTGGCGTACAGCCCTCTGGATATTCACAGCTTTGTCTGGAAGGATTCCTAAGAAGCCCTCTCCACACAAGTATTTCCTCCTTGCAGCATTTTACAGGCCGCCCAGGCCAGAAACTACTGAAGCTCCACCCCTCCAGAACAAGACAAGGCTTCAAGCAGCACGGTTGCTCAGCCTGAATGTTTAATGCTGGAGAGAGAGACCAGGAACGGGGGACCCCCTGCCCGTTCTCCACGTGCCCACTCAAAATGGAGGCCCACCTGTGAGTCCTGCCCACTAGACACCCAGACTTCTCCCATGACAAAGGCATGTGAAGACCAATGAGACCGAGATTCCAGACACAGAGTAAAGAGCACATGGGCTAAGAGCTTGGGCTCTGTGTTCAAATCCCGGCTGTGCCATGTCCTAGCTCAGCAAGTCTCATAATTTCCGTGAGCCTTCGCTTCGCCTCCATTTCTTCTCCTGTAAAATGGGAATAATACTGTCCACCTCATAGAGCCATTGAGAAAACTGAGGAGAAAGGGCACATGTGAAGCACTCAGCTCAGGGCCTGACGAATAGTAAACTCGATGACAACGAGAACGGCAGCGGTTATTACCTTGCTCTTCGGAGGGCTCCCTACAGCCAATTTCCTACTTCCTGGTTCCCCTACTGGTGACGAGGCTGTCCCTCAAGTCCCTCCTCCGGCCACACTCCTCACTCCTGGGTCTGTCTTCCCTGGGGGCTCCCTCGGCACACAGCGTGGGACCTACAGGAACTGTTTCCTCCACACCTTCCTCAGGGCCAGGTGCATGCTCAGGAAGCGTCTGTGGGCCTGACCAAAGCGGGCCTGGGGCACTGGCCCCAGTTCTAGGGAACAAGGAGGGGTCTCTTGCCTTGGACCCTCTGACCCCTCTGCTCTCCTAGTCCCTTTGCAGGCGAACAGCCAGAGCCCAGACCAGCAGTTACCATAGCAACAACAGAGCCAGAGAGAGGGTACCAGGCAGGGCATCCCTGTTTCTGGGGTGATCCAGTTGCCTCATCTGGACAGCAAAGTGGGAGACAGCTGTGATAGCTGCTCTGAGATGAACTCTCTGGAAGGGGTCCAGGTTTCTATGTCATCCATACATCCTTCCTTCCGTCATTCATCCAGTCACATATCCAGGTATTTGCTCATTCACAAAACACTTAGTGAGTGGCTGTCACTACCATATGGCAGGCACTGTGCCAGGTGCTAAGAAAACAAAGTTCAAGTGAGACCCTATTCCTGCCTCGAGAGAGCTCCCAGTCTCAAGGGGAAAGCAGAAGAGGGAGGCAGAGGAGGGCAGAGGTGGTACGGGCGATGGGGAGCGGAGGAGTACAGAGGTTAGGAGTGCAGCCTCTGCCGTGGGCTGCCAGCATTCAAAGTCCGGCTCTGTCCTTTACTGGCTGTGTGACATCTGGGCAAGTCATTTCACCTCTAAGCCTCAGTTTACCCTTCTGTAAAGTGGGAGCAATTAGTACTTACCTCATAAGGTTGTGAGGTGTAACTAGTATATGTAACTAGTACCTGACATATAGTAAGCACTCAGTAAACAGGTTAACTATTGTTCTGACCCTACCCCAGGGTTCCCTCCTCTATACCTGAAGCCCAGCTTTTAAGTGAGGGTTTCTTGCAGGGCTTCCTCAGCAGAGCCCCGGCTAACCCCTCCCTTGGCTTCCAGGTTAAGCAGCCCCTGCCACCACTGCACCTGGGACATCTGAATGTCGCCCGCCCCACCCCCTGCTGTTTTCAGATTATCAGGACAGTGTCACAGATAAAGTCTCCAAAGGGGACCTTTCTCTTCAGCAAATGAGAGCCTATGACCATTTATTCTAGAATGGAATTTTAAAAATACCTCCTGCCCTTATCATTTATACAGTTCCTCGTTATTCATTCTTGTACCTTCCTCCTACAGCAGAAAAGCACAGAAGCATGCAAACACACACACACACACATCCTTTGAGAGATTTTCTAAACCCCTGAGCATAACCTGAATATTCCACAGCTTTGGAAGCATAAACCAATCCAGATTTAGCAAAGGCTGCTCTCGCTAAGAGATGTCCATCCCCCTCACTTCCCAGCCCCCCAGTTCTGTGATGCTGGGAAAGGGGCTGCCCCTGCTCAGGCTCCCCTGGGTGGGCAGCACAGTCAGAGCCTGCCCCAGCTGCTTGGTCCTCCTCTGCTGGACAGGCCTGCATAGGGCTCTTTCCTGCTTGCTACTAGCCAGGGAGCTGACTGTTGCTCTTGAACCAGGCCCTCTGGAGTAAGGCCATATGCTACTGACCAAGTGGGCTGGGGACCCTTGCTACCTGCGAGGGGATTCTTGGTCATGGTAGATCCTTAGGAGGAAATGACAGGGCAGAGTACTCCACAGTTCCTGTCTGGAGTACATGTGTAATCATCCTTCCAGGAGCAGAATGGTCCTGGGGCACGTTTGCGTTCCATGCAGCATCCAAGCTGCCTAGTAACTGGGCAGACCTGTGGGCATTTTAAATCCTTCACACTTTAACCATCGAAGGGAGACAACGCGCCCCAAGAGGGCAAATAAAGGAGATTCTGAGTGCTCCTTCATAACACGGGAGAGGGTATTTATTTTACTATCATCAACAACATGGCAAGATTTCAGGATGCACAGCACTAAACTAGACTTGCGGTGCGAGGCGTGGGGAGGGAGGAGGAAGAAAAGTCCCAGCTTCCAAGGGCTCACGGGTCATTTGAGACTAAACATACACACGTGAAACAACCAGAAAACAACTCCAAACCACGAATCAAGCTGTGTGCGATGTAGGACATCTTGTTCCACAAGGTGATGGGAGAATGAACACAGAGTTCAATTCAGATCACTTGCAGAAGGCTTCTCATATAACAGGGTTGCCTGCCATTCTCTGAGCACTTCCCCAGCAGGTGCTAAGCCCTTACATGGATGATCCCATCATTCTTCAACAACCCTATGAAATAGGTGCTTAGTGATCCGATTTCACAGATAAGAAACTGAGGCTCAGGGAGGTTAAGCAACTTGCCCACAGAATTTAATGGTGGCAGAGCTAGGATTTGAACTTGGTGCATCTGACCACACAGCCCTGTTCTTAATCACTGTGGTGCACAAAGAAGAATTTTGATCTGAACTTGGCAAGAGAAAAAGTTAGTGGGAAAAAACCCAGGAGGCTGCTCTGAGTAAGATTAGAGAGTGGAGGAAGCAGCATTTGCAAAGGGCCAAGAACTCTGACAAGCCAGATATGAGCAAAATGTTTGAAGAGACCAAATGTCCAGCCTTCCAGGGACTCACAGATGAAGATGAATGGGAAATGGGTCTCCTGGGAGGGCGCAGTGTTCAGGCACAGGGGGGTAGGGAAGGTGGGGGAGGCTGGAGGCTAATCAATGAGAACCCCCTTGGGCTGGGTATTTGGTTATTTGTGAAGAGTTTAGATAAGAAACAGAACCAGGCCAACAGGAACCACGATGGAGTCAAGCTTGGTTCTCAGAGCAGCACAGTTCCCCCTCCATCAAGGCCATTGACTTTGAAAAATGAACCGTGGACCAGGTGGGACATGAAGCTGAAAAATCAAGGGAAAGACCCCACCACCTCCTCAACTCCAACTGCCATCAAAGCTCCAAAGAGCAATGTGGAGGCAGACATAGGCTGTCCCTGCAGCACTGAAGGGGACCTCCAGCTAGTACCTTAGAATTTAGATTTAATCCACTCACAGCCACTCTGTTGGCTGAGATCAGAGCAATTTACAGCTAGAAGGAATTTCAAGTAACATTGAGTCACCATCTTCCTCCACCCACCACCACCACTGCCAGATGTCCCGGCCACTCCCACAGCACCCCACCGCTGCCCCGTCAGGACATAACTGGACTCAGTCCAGATGGGCTCCAGTTCAGAACCTCTAAGGAAGGGAGCTACACACGACCTCCTCTAGTCGTCAAATCTGATGTTAATATCATCTATGACAATGAGGCTCTTTCAAATGCTATGGTTTGAACTAATTTGCTAATTTTCCAATCTGCAGGACATAGAGGACAGCTCTCACCTGAAATCCTTAGATTAACGTGCTTTTTTTTTTTATTTTTAAAGATTTTATTTTTTCCTTTTCTCCCCAAAGCCCCCCAGTACATAGTTGTGTATTCTTCGTTGTGGGTTCTTCTAGTTGTGGCATGTGGGACGCTGCCTCAGCGTGGTCTGATGAGCAGTGCCATGTCCTCGCCCAGGATTCGAACTAACGAAACACTGGGCCGCCTGCAGCGGAGCGCACGAACTTAACCACTCGGCCACGGGGCCAGCCCCTAACGTGCTTTTATAAGATAGACACCAATTGTTGAAGTGGTTACTCTGGGACATGAGATGATGAAAGACTTCCTATTTTTTTTTCACTGTTTTATTATTTTTTAAAATTTTATTTTTTATTTTTCCTTCTTCTCCCCAAAGCCCCTCAGTACCTAGTTGTATATTTTAGTTGTGGGTCCTTCTAGTTGTGGCATGTGGAACGCTGCCTCAGCATGGCCTGATGACTGGTGCTAGGTCCGTACCCAGGATCCAAACCAAAGAAACCCTGGGCCACCGAAGCAGAGCACGTGAACTTAACCACTCGGCCACAGGGTCGGCTCCTCACTGTTGTATTTTTTTAAGCCTGATGTATTATTTCTGCCCGGCTAATGAAAGAAGTGGTATTTTGAAAGCTCCTCATGAAGCATTATTTAATTGCTCCTTTTCTCTAGGCTAAATCCTTCTAGTTTCATCCAGAGGCTGACAACTCAGAGACCTCTGTGGGTCGGACAGGTGACATAAGTGAATGAGAAGGAAGACATGGAAGCAGTGCAGGTGGTCCTGGCAAATTGCAGAGAGCACACCTTGCCGAAAGGCATTCAAATCCTAAACTGGGCTACAGGCCACCAGCCTGCAACCTTTGCCCATGAGCACTTTTCTCCATCCTTTATTTCCTGGTTCTTCAAGCTTTCTAAGTTAGTGTAAGGAGCCCCTAAAGAGAGCATCTTCGGTGTGGCCATATGGAAACACGCTGTTATCTGTTGTGTCAACAGCAATTTTGGTCCCATGCCAAAGCCTCACCAGCACACAGGGTTTACACCTGCAAAGACCCATCTGTCCCCAAGTCCTAGGAGAGGCCACAGGGGTCGAGCAAAGATCCCAGGGAAATATGACTTCACTCTGCATTGGCCCGGGCGCCACAGCAACAGGATGCCCTATCCTGAGCAGACGGCACAGCAGACTGCCCCTATCAGGCAGTGCCTGTTCTGGCAGACCAGGCCACCTCCCCAAGCAGGCTTGTGTCTGTCCAAATGGCATGGAGTCACACTGGTAACTATTTACATGAGTCAAAATCCACCAGAGGCAGCAGATGGCCAGGCGGGCTGAGACATGGGGGGAAATGGGCCTGGTTTGGGCTGAGTCAGAGGTAGGGGCAGCAAACAGCTTCTCTGTGGGCACGGACAAGTCAAAACATCACCACGGGCGTCCCTGGTCTCTCAGCATGGCTAGAGTCCAGGAAAGGATTTGGTGTGAACAAAGCTGAAATGGTCACAGGCTGATCCCTAGACTCCGAGATAAAATGGCATTGGACAGACCTGTCCATCTTCAGTGGTGGGCGCTGCCGGGCCGAGCCTGCAGAGATGCCATGGCTGGCCGAGGGATGCATTCCTGCTGCAAGACGAGCGCCTCCAAAGCACTAGGCTTAAAACCGCAACCAAGACAAGCGGAGAGATCAGGGCCTCCTGGGTGTCATCTTTGTCACCTTTATGCCCTCCGTGGCCCAGGGCTTGGTGCACACAGGCAACCAGAGGCATCTGTTGGGACGAACTGAAAGAGCGTGTGACGCAAATCCAACAGAGTGACCTTTGCCTGAGACTCGGTTTGGAGCGTGCGTGTTTTTTTAAGGCAGGATGTCGGCTAGGGAACATTGTGAGCCATCCTGAGCCCTGACAGCACCGGTGAAATTCTGACGTACTTAGTCCAGGGTGATAACGGGTGTTTCGTTTCCTGCTTTGGAATTCTTTCAGTCACAAGACCCTCGGTGTCTCCCAGGCCCACAGCCAAAGCCTGAGTGAGAGTGATACTCGTGCACGCCCATGAGGACCGCAGCTTTCGTTTGCCAGATGGAGGATATTTTGACTTGGAGTGTTTTCTTCTTCCCTCCCTTCTCTAACTTTCCTCTCTCCTGGGAGCTTGTGCGGGTGCCAATCTGTGGTGACAAACATCAGGGATGGGTAGACCTGGAACCTCGGCATCAGCACTAACAATCTGGAGGTCAAACTGGGGAAAAGGCCAAGGAACCCGCAGGCACACAGGATCCCAAAATGTGCTTGGACGTTAGCACTGGGCACTAGAGACTTCTAGAGAGTCTTTAGAAGCTATGGGCTAGAAGACTCATACAAATGATTATCAGAAAGCATACATTTTCTGTCTCCATGTTTATTGGGAACTTCAAAGAAAATGAACAGAGATTTATTGACCCACCAAAACAATTCCTGACGCAGCATCATGATGAGCTTGGGAATTCTGGCTGGTGAAGGGGTGGACTGTGAGCCTCAGCAGCTTAGCCCATAGTCAAAGGCGTCGGGGTTGTTCTGAAAATAGAGATTCAAGAAGCCCAGGAAAATGTTCTTATCTATGAGAAGAGCACACACTGCAGGGTCCTGCTTCATGGCTGCGATCCAGAGCCGAAGGGCCGGGGTGTGGCTCACACAGCTGCAGGAGAGGAGAGGAGCGTTAGCACGTCTGAAGGGGAGGCATCAGGAAAGATCACAGGCATTGCTCTTTAGATTTACAGGGTAGGAAAAATGGGCTTATCTGGGCAATAAAGTTTTCATAGCTATCTTATTATCAACCGAGCATGATCATTTACTGGAGGAAAATCTTATTTTCGGAATAGCTGTGTGTGCTTTTGAATTGTAGAAGTTGAGATTGTTGCTTTTAACAATACAGTTAAAATACTTGCAGACAAATTGCTCTGGGGAAATAAAGGGTCTGTGCTTCCCTGGTTACCAACAAAAAGACAACCCATGGAGAGAAACATTCTCCCATCATTCTCAGATTTGACTTTAGGGGGCTTGAAAAAAATAAAGACAAGTCGTTTCCAAAAACTCTTTTGAAAAATTAGTAAAACAATCATCAAACTTTGAAATAATGGAGGTGACTGGGCCCTTTCGAAGACCGATCAGGTTTAGGTCTAGGATATGTAAAACTGCGTGCTCAACATAGTCACCTGGTCAGCGGGAAATCCAGGAGCAGACGTGAGGCTTCCTGACCTCTGGTTCAATACTCTGGCCCGGAGGAGACGGGTTTTTGTCTATGTTGAGACATAGTTTAAAATACCCAAATGTGTTGCATCTGATCTTCCCTCAGAAACAGCTGAAGTGGGAGGCGCAGGAGACGACCCCTGGATAGACTCAACCCTGTGCATTACGAGGTTTCGGTCACAGTTCTGCCTTGGCAGGACGAGATTCCCAAATGCCAGAGTTGTCCTGCACCCACCATGGGACTGGCTTGGATCAGAGCAGGTGCCGGCATAAATTTACCTTGTCCTCTGAGCATCGTGGGGACAAAGCACGTGTTCCGTCTGCCTGGGGACCCTGCACGGCCTCCCAGAGTCTACTGAGCAATTTCTTCCACTTTAAACATCTCTACACTTCTATGGTGTATGGCTGCCCATTTTGTTCGTTTTAACATCAAGCATATATTACTTTTAAAATCATTTATTTTTTAATGATATTTCTATCCAGAGGAAGAGTCCTCAGGGAACTAAGATGTGAGTAAGGTGTATGGTGTCCACTGGGGGACTTAGAAGGACCAGGTGGAGGGCCACGGAGGGAGCTACAGACAAGTCAGCAAAACCCTGTGCCTGGGACTCTCCTCTGCTGTCACCACTGGCCTTCGCTGGGTGGGCTGATGAGGACAGCAGCTCTGAAGCCCTCCGTACGGGAGGCTTTTGGACACAGGGTCTTAGCAGCAGAAATATGGACCAAGTTTGGGTCTGCGGTTCGTGGCAGAGGAGCATAGATGTGTTTTGAAGGAGGAAACACATAGTTTAAAACCTGATTTCTTTTACATTCATCGTGACACATGTCCAAAGGGGGTAAATGGCCATTTGATAAACTGCCCATTTCAACCACTGTCCCCAGTGCGACCCCCAGGAATCATGACCACAAGGTCAAATGTCTTACTCGGCTATTCCATATACATCCAGCCGCTCAAACCAGGGCCAAAAGAGGTAATCAATCATGGATATACAGTCTCCACCAAAGAAGACGGTGTTCTGATAGCCAAGAATCTAAAAGTTTAAAGAGAACAAAAGCAAGTTAATTTCCCTACCTGCCGACACATTTATAGATACTAGACACAAATATCAAATTAATTCCCAAAGAACTGAGGCTTTGATTTTCTTTCTGTTTTGTTAGGTGAACGCTTCTTCTCTTTTCCTGAGGTTTCCTCCACCTCCATTAGGGTCGTACTCCTGGCCTCACTCAGCCCCTCCCTCCTTTCAGCACTGGAGGGATGGTGTGGCTCCTCTGATCAGAGAATTTGGAAGGACACCCCAGCCCCTCCCTCTTAGCCTAGGACAGGCTCCTCCGAGGGCTAAGCTTTCCATGGACAGCTCAGCCCCTGGAGAGGGGCGGTCCTGCCTCAGGCCAGCGCTGCCCATTACTGGGAGGCGGCGCTGGGGGGACACATCAGGAACCCCACTTCTGCAGTTGTGGTGCCCATTCTCCAGGACCCACGTTATCTGTAATAAAGGGGATCCCGTAGTCTCCCCATGTCTTCCTCTTTTGCCTTATTTCTCAATCGATTCAAAACTAAGGAGGAGAGACCAGTGCTATTTAATGGGCTCCCTCAATTCCCAACACTGTCTTTCCATCATATTTTCTTTTCTTATTTGAGCCCTTTGAACTTCACATTGTTGGCCACTCAACACCATCAACATTTTGCATTAAAATAAAATCTCTCATTCCCAAATGGGACAAACCAACCCAGATAGATGGACTCTAAAGAAACAGATAGACTCTTAACAGACAGATAACCAAAGATAGTGAAAAAAAAAAAATAGTACTTGAAAAAGTAAAAGGCAAAAGCACTTAGCAGGGGTTATTGTTGGGCCAGGTCTTCCCAAAGAGAAAAGGATGGGGCCAATTACCTCGTTAAATCAAGCAAACAACCTTCTTTGACCCATATAACTCCTAATCAACTGAATAATTCCCTATTCATTCCATGTATATAATTCCCTAAATTCCCTAAATGTCCATGTATGATTTGTTTTGACAAGGATTTTCTCAAGAGCACCTCTGCTCTGTAAAGCAGAGGAGTTACACAGATGTTCCAGAGTCCATCAGTTTAGAATTGGTTCTGGATTTGTGACGAGAAAGCACGAGGCATCCGAAGCTTACATCCACAGAAAGCAAACAATCCCTGACAGAAAAGATCAATGAGATCCCCCACTGCCACCCTTCTCAGAAGAGAAAGCAAATCTTGGTGCCCTAAATTCTGTCTCTGTTATCTCCCAGTATGGCATGAGTGGTAGTCAGACTCCCTCCCTAGTGTCCTGGAAGTCTGAACCAAGTTACTAGCATCACTTGGTTCAAAGAAACTAACAGGATGGCACTCAAACAGCAGAATCTGACCAGCGAAAACTCAAAACAGAGGCCATTTTCAGTCATGTATAAATAAGACCTGACTTACAGGGGAACGGAACAAATTGTTCAGTTTTTATGGATTCCAGAAAGCCCCAAACCTTCCTTATGCTCAGGAATAGATAATAATTACCCAAACTTTTATCTCTGGCTTTAAAACATATACCTCCAGCTTATTATCACTTTCATGGCACAAATCCAGAACCAATTCCAAACTGATGGACTCTGGAACATCTGTGTAACTCCTCTGCTTTACAGAGCAGAGGTGCTCTTGAGAAAATCCTTGTCAAAACAAATCATACATGGACGTTTAATGGAATCCCGTATGGGTCCTTTGGGTAAAGTGATGAGATACTTTGAAAATGAGTAACTGCTTAGTAATTGCTGTTTATGTAGTAAACATTTTATAAGCTTTTCCTCTGCTCACAGTAGGAGTATACCTTGAAATATATATGCTTTTATTGATATGACCAATTTTCATATAAAGACTCCTAAAGTAATGGAAGCCCTATGAAGGTACGGGGACAATATAAAGTCAAGATGAGCATGGACGAAATGGGTGAGTGATCATTTATCTTGTGCAGGCCTCTCCCCCATCCCCGAAATACATGTCCACGTTCCTTCAGACTTTCTTAAATCTAAGTGTGACATCACAATTCCTAGGAGTTCTTGATACGGCAGCAGATTCTTGATGCCTGTCTCAGACAGGCATTTCTCTACCAGATTTCTTGCAGGGCAAGTCTCAAAATCCCAATAGAAAAGCTGTTTTCCTACAAACTAGCAGAGTGCTGGCTCCTTCAGAGACACCTCCCAGTGACATAGGAGAACATCCTGGCCGGGCCTCCTTAGAGGGTTATGCAAACCTGGTACCTTCTAGACATGTGAAATGACTCTTCCCCTTAGAATCACACAGCATCGGTACCAGAAGGGCCACTGGAACCCTCTAATGCAACTCTCTTCCCATTGTACCATTTATTCATACCATGCTCATTACACAGAGGATTAGAGGTGCAGTGTACAATAAAATACGAAAGATGAAAAATAATACAACGCTAAGTTTAGGGGAAAATAAAAGTTAGAACAGAAGGTCAAAACAAGGAAGGAAAATGGCATCAAGATACCAAGCCAAGGCTCCCGCAGTTCCTTAAGTAAAGCTTTGAATTTGACTTGAGTTTCCCGGCAGCTGAAGCAGAGAGGAAAGCACGCTGGCGAGTGGATTCTTGTCTCTCACGTGGATGCACAAGAGACTGACTCACAGAGGGGGAAATGCAGACACAGGGAGGTAAAGGGGCTCTCTGGTTGGTGCCAGAGCTAAGACAAAACACCATGCTCCTAATTCCCAGACTAGTGTCAACCCTTCTGTCACTCAACTTCAAATACACATGTATGAGGACTTGAATCACAGAAACTTCCCCATATCTCTTGTGAATTCTTTGCTCTTTAAGTATCAGCAAAAAGCTTAGAACCAACAAACTCTGGACTCCCTTACAGCCAAGGACTGGCCCACTGAGCTTCCCTGGGAAAACTCCCTCCTCCACCCAACTCTTTCTCACTCTCTCTCGGTCAACGGCTCTGCCAGAGCACCTAACCGACAAACAAGGAGGTGAGAACGCCAACATAACCACGGTGAAAGAGATCATCAAACATCTCTCCTTCCTGTTTCATTCCATTGATCAGCTTTACTAAAATAGTTCTGTGTTCTCTGTTTAAGATGAGTCCCTTGCTTACAGCCAATTAGCTCCTCTGACAAATTTTAGGACGGTCAGAGGTAAAATAAACTGACAGCGTTAATCTCCTAAGTGTTTTATCATCAGAAATGGAATAGGAAACTGCCCTTGTACCTCCATCCGCTTAGCAGTGGTTATGTTAATATCTCATTTTTAACAACTCCATTTTGAATTCTTTCTGTCACCCACCTGCCACATATAATGATATTGGCCATTCTTTATGTTGAATAGCATCTCTCACCATGGAATCCCTTACTTTCAGAACTATTGTCCTTGATATCATCAAGCAAGGCAAAATAGCCTGCTTAGAAGATGCTTTTCTTCCCAGGCCCCAGACAGCCCCCACCAGGCCACACACAGCCAGGAGAGGGCACTGAGGCTGTAGCTTCTAGCCCTTGGGTTTCCTAAAAATATTAACACATGTTCAATTCAGGCTTAAGAATTAAGCTTTGGGGGAAAAGCAATTTGATGTCCTGGAATGTTAGAAAAATCTATTTTTAAAATTTTCTGGTCTCCAGTTCAATAAAAAAATTGACTACAGAGCCTTCCCCTCGCTTTTGGACGGGATAAGGGATAAGGGATAAGGAGTGAGCACGCAAATGAAGAGGGAGGAGCTGTTTGGTATGAGGTGGAGCTACTATTTCCACCCCCTGAACGCGGAAAGCCTGGATGGAAGGGCACCTCATCTGCGAGGGCCTCTCGGGCTCCCCCAGGGGGGCCAAGGGAGGTTGGCGCTGGAGCGCGAGCAGAAGGAAGAAGCGCGCGGGGCTCCCCCGCGTGGCCATCGGTGGTGAGGCTGCCCGAGGAGGTTCGCCAAGGAGGAAAAAAGACATCTGTAAGTTTTTTGTGAGAAACAAGATCACAAAGAGAAGCGAATCTCAGACTTCCTCAAACCCGTCATCCTAAAAAGTTTCAGTCTACAGTCTTGGACTTTCGGGTTTAGCTTTACTAATTGCACTTCAAACCTTGAAGCGCCCACTGCCCTGCACCACCGTCATTTATTTACACCATTGCCGAAAAATGCTGGGACTCTAACCAGGACAGACAGCGTGGAGGTTCGCAACGGACGCTGCTGTCCTTGCTGGAGGAGGAAGAAAGCCGTTTTCTTAACGGAAATAGTTCTTAAGAAGGAGAAGCACCCCCCTCCCCCCCGCAAAAGGCACAGAGCCACCTGCCAGTACATACGCAAGGCAGGCTCTTATCCCGAAGCAGTAGCAAAGTACACAACACCCAGGCAGGAATCTTTTAAGTTCATAAAAGATAATGGGAGGTTCTCAAGTTTTCAAATTTCAGGTCCCTGCTACACAGACATATAGCTGAGTCTGAGCTAACAACGATGAACCGATTCCTTAAAACAAACCAAGGGTATAGAACAGAGAACAGATAAAACCATTTCCCCTCCAGAAAGAAGCCATAGAAGGAGGGTCTGCCCAGAACACGCCCCTCCTGCTGCTCACCGCTCCTGACCTAGGGCCCTTGTGAAGATTCGGAATGCAGCTGCCAACATTTGGGGATTAAAAGACCACCCTGAAAACTCTAAGCTGGAATCCTTCAAGTGGGCTTAATTCTTTTGTCAAAATATATCTGGAAGATAGTACCGAGGGAAAGCTAGTGGGACAATGCTTGACAAGTCAAATATCTTTAAAGTGATGGATGGTGGAGGAAAATGGCAATGAATATTTATCAAATCTCTGAAGGGGGAGAGGACTTCCTCTGCATAAAACAGCGGAAGAAATCCCAACCACCCGAAAGACTCATAGCACGGTATTTTTAAATGTTATATTTCTATATGTACAAAACAGAGAAGCCAAATTAAAATTTAAAAGAAAACAAAAAATGTGTCTTAAAAACAGGCAAATATGGGGCCAGACTGGTGGCCAAGAGGTTAAGTTCGCATGCTCCACTTCTGTGGCCTGGGG